TATAGAGACAGTAGTATAGATAGAGACAGTAGTATAGATAGAGACAGTAGTATAGAGACAGTAGTATAGAGACAGTAGTATAGATAGAGGCAGTAGTATAGAGACAGTAGTATAGAGACCGTAGTACAGAGACAGTAGTATAGAGACAGTAGTATAGAGACAGTACTATAGATAGAGGCAGTAGTATAGATAGACACAGTAGTATAGAGACAGTAGTATAGAGACAGTAGTATAGAGACAGTAGTATAGAGACAGTAGTGTAGATAGACACAGTAGTGTAGAGACAGTAGTGTAGAGACGGTAGTATAGAGACAGTAGTATAGACACAGTAGTGTAGAGACAGTAGTATAGAGACAGTAGTATAGAGACAGTAGTGTAGATAGACACAGTAGTGTAGAGACAGTAGTGTAGAGACATGTAACTACGACTAAACGGCAGTTTGTTTGTTGTTTTGTTGTTATACTGCACTATGATAAGGTAGAAATAAACACATTGCACTTTGTTCCACTCATGTTTCTGGACTCTGTTTCTGAACGTATATATATGACATAATGTGAATGTGTAATCGTGCAATAATGGTTAGTGGGTGATTGGCGGGTGCTCTGGTGGTTTGCTTCTTCTTTCCTATCAAACATCTATCGTCCTTATCTCTCCTTCTTCTTTTTTTATGTTTGTTACTCTCTCGTAACACCTCTAATCTTCCGGCGCTCATATGACCTTATGCAGTTGCGAGCGCCGTAAAACCTCTACTAAAACTAAACTAAATAATGGTTAGTCATTTCACTATAGCATGCCGAAGACGTGGGGTTTGTTCCATGGAGCATTTCCGTCTTCTCTTGACATCCACCCCTTGGCGCTCATATGACCTTAGGCAGTTGCAAGCGCCGTAAAAAATCTGCTAAAACTTTTCTAAAAAACAGATCTAACATGTTATTCATGTTTAGGTTTCATAAGAGTTTTACGGCACTTGCAACACAAGAAGGTCATATAAGTGTGGAAGATAAGAAGTGTTATAAGAGAGTAACAAACTCAAAAAGGAGGAAAGTTCAGGATGATAGGTGAGTGGTTGGCCGGTGCTCTGGTGTGGTTTGCTCCTTTTTTCCTATCAAACATCTTATCGTTCTTATCTCTCTGTCTTCTTTTTTATGTTTGTTACTCTCTTGTAACACTTCTAATCTTCAGCACTTATATGACCTAATTGTGTTGCAAGTGCTGTAAAACTTTTACTAAAACAAACAGGATGACGGACGCTTGATTAGGAAAGAAAGAGCAAACCCCACCAGAGCACCCGCCAACCACCGCCATGTAGTATATTCCTGTAGCCTACACGATAAGCTCACTACGACCAAGGAGGTCGGTGTAAGGTCTTTGACTACCACTTATATCGTAAAGATCTCAGCCCACATCTCTCGGCCCCCGGTCAAACCCATACCGCCTGTCGTCCACCTACGTCAGTTGCGCCATTTTCCCGATGACGCACGTCTGGTCGTAGCACGAAGCTCTTATCAGCTGACAGCCCCACCCACCACCGACAGCTGGTCTCTGTACCACGCTTTGTTTACACAACAACAACAACACCAACGTGCTACCTACAACCCGATTACAAATACCCAAACATTCAAGCTGCCTCTTGTACTGTCTTCCCACTTAGCTCCTTATCCCCCCCCCCCCCCCCACATACCTGCCACTGTTAACTGTCTTCCCACTTAGCTCCTTGTCCCCCCCCCCCACACACACACATACCTGCCACTATACTGTCTTCCCACTTAGCTCCTCTCGACACTTGTCTTGGCTCGATAGAATAGGCTAACACTAACGATGTCACCTTAGCAGAGACTGTGCCGTGCCCACCATTTCGGAACTTCATGGTGACCGTAAAGATGGTTCAGTAGGGAACGGGATAGAGGGGGCCCACGTCCCTAGTGACTCATTGGAAAAGAGGAAGATACAGGACTAACGTAACATTACTTAAACGCAATCCCACATCATCACTCATCACCACCATTATTTCTAAAATCATCATTGCTCACAGATCAATGACTTACATCTATAATCCTGGAATCTTTATCTGTAACAGTTACTTGTCATACTAAGTATGCACGTAACACACTACTGGACACTATTGTACGCACGTTTTTCTACTAATCAGACGCGTCAATCTCATGTAAATGGGCAAGAGATAAAAAAAGACAACAACAACGACAAAGAACAAGACAGGGAAGGGGGGGGGGACGTAGATATAACGGGCACCTGTGTTGAGGAACAACAACATCAATTTCTTCAAAGTATAACTTTATAAGAGGAAAGGAAATTGGATTTAAATCAGTACAGATTCTCACACACAACACCTTTTATTTTTATTCCTTACGAACTCACCACCGTTTGGACTGCCTCAGTCACCCCATGTAGGAACAAGACATTTTTACCAAAGAATTCTCCACGGTTTGTATAGTTTCAGTCACCCCATGCAGAAACAAGACATTTTTACTTAAGAATTCTCCACGGTTTGTATAGTTTCAGTCACCCCATGTAGGAACAGTGCGTGTGCTGCAGTGTTGTTTCGTTCCTGACACTTATCATCTGTTCAAACAAACGTTGTGTTTGCGATAACACGTTTTGAATCATTTCTTTGAACATCAACATTTTCAGGAAATGTAAAGAAAATATCCACCAGATGTATACAAGTATGAGCGTTAGGTAGGCCTATATCACAATTCTTAATGAATCAATAGAGCTTGATAGAGACAATGAAAGTTATGTCCAAGACACAGCACGGATTCTGTGGCGGGGCTACCAAGCCAGCTACAGACGGAATGTTCTTCTTGGTATGTGTTTAACGCCCCTTTCAACACTGTTAGGTCAGAGTTGAAGCCAACTGCAGTTTGTGCGCGACATCGGACTGACTGTCTAGCTGCTGTCATCGAGAACGAGGAAGAAGAAGAAAAAAACACTGTTAGGTTATCTTAGAGGCGGGACCTCTGAGTTTAACGTCTATGTCCGAAAGGACCGAGCCAAGTGGGAAATTCGTGTAAAGTGCCTTTCCCAAGGACACAATGTCGGACCGAGCTGAGGCTCGAACCCAGAACCTGCAATCTCACGATAACGAGTCTGGTAGCCTAACCACTAGGGTACCAACACATAAAACGCATTTTTCTCAAAAATCAAGGTTTCGAGATAATCGCAATTTTGGTTTTTTAATTTTTTGTGTGCTAATTCAACAAACAAACAGCAACGTTGTTTTTGTTTGTCTATCTCACATGAAGATCTATCTCATTTACCAGGACTAAACCAAATTTTATCGAATTTGAGCTAAAGACAAACAAACAAATAAGAAGAATGCATTTTATCAGACCACCCTTGTAGGAATGCGTTTTATTTTCAACGCATTAATCCCAGAACGATCTACGAGAACGAGGAAGAAATCTGATAAAACGTATTTATTTTCTGTGTCTCGTAAATCATGATTCCGTAAAACACAGCCGTAAGAAGGATAATATGATTCTTTAATCTACGGACTGAAAGGCGAAGTTGTGATCTGATAAAGCACATTTTTCTTCCCCAGATTGACACAAAAAACGCGTTTTAACTAATCTAAAATGTTAATTTATTCAAAAACTAGTCACAGTTAGTCTTTCATATTGATATCTCAAGAAGGCTGTCGACAAGCAGAATTCATCAGTGGAATAAAAAAAATTGTCCTGCCAAAATGACAAAAATGCGTTTTATCTGATCACGGCAGAACTGACAGACAGGATGTTTAGAAACGGAGTTTGTGAATGTTCACGACATGAGCCTCACAGGCTGCAGTGACGTGGGTTCAAATGAAGGCTGGCCTCACATAGAATGTGACCATGCACGTGTCACGTTTGACTACACACAGACACACACACACTCACACATACACACACACACACACACACACACACACACACACACACACACACACACACACACACACACACAACATGACACACCTCACTTGATCTGATCACAGAATCTAGGTTGTGTCATCCATTAGTGTCCTCATTGTCTGTGCAGCTTGTTTGCTTTTTCCCGCCTGCATGCTGCTTGGACAGTTTGAGAGTCTCAGCTCGGTCCGACGCTGTGTCCTTGGGAAAGACACTTTACACGAATTTCCCATTTGGCTCGGTCCTTTCGGAGATGGACGTCAAACTTGGAGGTCCCGCCTCTTAAATAACCTAACAGTGTTGATAGGGGCTATACCATTGCACCATTTTTTTATCGACAGTTTGCCATGGCTAGGCTTAGCACACATCTACTGTACTCACCGCAGGAGGAGACCAGACACGTCTCAACAAGAATCAGCTTGCACATTCCTCCCCTCACGTGAAAAACCCACACTTTCCGCCGTGACTGGCGTGAGGAAACTGCTCGTTATGGGACGTGAGGAGTGCCGTTAACATTCTACTGAACACTTTTGCTCACACGCGTGACCCGTGCCTCTTGACCCGTGCCTCTTGACCCGTGCCCTTGACCCGTGTCTCTTGACCCGTGTCTCTTGACCCGTGCCTCTTGACCCGTGCCTCTTGACCCGTGTCTCTTGACCCGTGTCTCTTGACCCGTGTGACGTTTCGAGTGACGCTCTGTGGGAGGCTGGCCTAATGTTGCCTGTCTGTAGTAACACGTGACACGTGAAAGGTCACGTCCTATGTGAGACGGGCCTTTGCCCCTCTCGACACTTTTCGATAGTTCAGGTGGAGGGAGGCTAGCGCTGGCTATCAGTATCAGGACCACCCCGGTCTGTGAGCGATACAACCACAGCTACAAACACAAACAACAACTCATCAACGTTTCCTTACGGTACAGAAAAACGCCCAGAACACAAATAGATTAGATTCTAATCTTCTCACCGACAGTCTCAAATCCTGTACATCCTGTACAACTTTATTAGAAATGGAGACATTATTATCAGTGCGGGCCCAGCTGTTTCGTGGCACGTTCCTCCGGGCCTCAGTGTGAGCAGAAAGGGTGAGCAGTAAAGGTGAGCAGTAAAGGTGAGCAGTAAAGGTGAGCAGTAAGTTACCGGTCCCGACATCCCCGAGTGTGCGTGAGTTCAGCACGGGCCGACCTTGGTGAGACTGAGAGACTCGTCCCTGCACTTGGCCTTCTCAAACTCACACCTGTGGGATGATGATGATGACACAAGCGGAACTTTTGTTTGTTTTACGACACTTACAACACAATAAGGTCATATAACTGTGGACGGACGCAAGCACAACTTACATCTTTTGTTGTTGTTGTTGTTGTTGTTGTTGTTTGTTTTAGTAAGTTTTACGGCACTTGCAACACAATAAGGGCATATATATATATATA